GTATTGGCTTCCCTTGCCCTGCACGCATTTTATTTACTATATTTATTTGTTTAATGGTAGTCCCGGCCCCGCAACGCAGGCACAAATAAGTAGCGTTTTAGAAAACCAACCTCGCGCGCGACCCTTGTGAAAAAAAACCCCTGCGCTATTGAGCACAATCTCTTGAGTATTGTGAGTCTCGCGGTTTCCTTAAGTACATATGGCGTCAGGAATCCTGGTTTGTATTGCGCCTGTGAGCATAATCTTCCTTGTTTTGTCAACCTCGAATTTTCCCTATGTATTACAGGAAAATCTGGAATCCGGTAAAAAAAAAATTGCTTCTGGGATCAGGAATCTTCGTCTTTGGAATCAGAAATACAACTCAAAGAATCTCGGGAATCCCACGAACAATTGGCAACCGGAATCCAAGTTGCACTTACATAGAAACGGAATCCACGGCGGGTAGTCCAGAACTCCAAGACTTCCTTGGATTCCCTAACATGGGACGATAAAATTCATACTGTATTTTTATGTATTGTCCATGCAGCAGGTCTTCTTCCCAGTAGTTCTTATTTGAGGGGCTTCTCCTGGGAGCCAGTTAACGAAAGCAATGACTTTCATGTAAATTGAGGTGGGGGCTTGAAGATCATTTTACCTTTGACAGACAATCTGGGTGGGAATCAGAGTGAGTTTAGAATCACGTTTACGGTAGAAAGGTAATCTCGAGATTCAACATGACAATTTCTCAAATTATCTCCTGGCTCCTGCCTGCATTGGACGTTTCGACCGCTTTTTTCTTCTCCCTATCGGGCGATGGTTTTGATCAACAGTGCAGAGAATAAAAGCGACACCCTGTTTACTCGTCATTGGTGCTTTACCAACCTCGCTGATGTTTGATTAATTGGTTTCGATCCAACGCATTGTTAGCGTAAGAAACTGTTCCCTTCAGTAAAGGTTATCTCTCCTGATCAGCTGCTTATGTTGTATGACTTATTGCTAATGGTTCTAATATGAAACCGGAAAGGATTGTCTGGCTATATTTTAGCATCCACTTGACCGAAATCTCAGCAAAGAAATCTGGCAACTTTTTAATAATAGGTAAAACATAAGGTGAACAAAGTTTTATTATTTTATTTAAACCATCACATGAAAGTGTGCGTTGTTCAAGAATTTAAGTTTCCCTTCTCTGCCTGCAGAATCTGGGGGAGTTGACATCAACGGTCAGCAACGGTATCGTCAACTCATGCTGATACTCATTTGGATCTGAGAAAAAAGCAGAGAAAGAGAGAAAAATTGCACAATCACAGGCTACCTTAGAAGCTTTCACAATGAGTGTTAAGCTGCGATCAGGGGGTACTTCTTCTCATTTTCTTTGGCATTTTTGTACATTCCAGCAAACGTATTATAAGGTTTCTGCAAAATGTACTGAATCATTAAGTAGAGAGACGCATAAAAACTTTTAATGAGTCGAAAATGTCAAACAACGTTAAAAACCGTCTGTCGACTTAGAACTCCTGATCGCCACTTGCCATGCTTGCATTGGCATCCATGTCCTCGCTTCATTTACAAACAGGTTACTGACAAGAATTTAATTACTCAAAAAACAAAGTATACAATAGAGGGAAAAACATAAAAAAAACACCTGTGAGCAGGCTCTCTCGCTGAATACCAGAAAGAAAGCCAAAAATCCCCAAGCAGATCATTGAGGGAAGGAGTAGGAGTAGAATCGGGATCTGTTTATTAGGTATAAAAAAAAATTGAGAGAAAGGTGGTTGCGGGGCTTTTTAAAGAGTCGGTCATTCTTAATTAAGGGAGCAGTCATTTCTTTCCTTCCCCGCATGATGACAACATGCTGAGGAGATTATCCACCCTCTTTATAGCATCACAACATTATTGATTCCTTTTTGACGTATATAAACTTTGCCATGAAGGCCACTTAAAGAAGATTTCTCGCAGCTCTTTCAGACTTACCTTAAATAACGTACTAATTTACAATGAACCTCTTGGGTACAGTTCACTTGTTGAACGTCCAAAAAGCAACAGCAAAAATGACAAACAATGCAAGAGCGACAGCTAATACCACCATTGGAACAACTGCAACAAACGTGTAATTGAAAAACGAACCACGATTAATGAATAATGAACAATAATAATAATGGTGATGATGATGTTGATGATAAAAGTAATGATGACGATGATGATGATGATGATGATGATGACGAATAGAAGTGATTCTAGAGACCTGTTGGATACAATACACTCTCCCCAATTAACCGGTCCCATTTCATTATAATCGTGTCCAGTATCTCGACTCGACTCAGTGAACTCACTCAGACAGAGGAAGGAGAACTGTATATATGCTCAGGTGAATGTTTGACATTTCCATGGGAAGGAAATAACTGAAAATGTAATTCTAATTTCTTCTCTCCATAGCTGAGATACTATTATTCTCTTTACAGGTCTTCCGATTTCCTTGTTCCTTATCTTTATCGAAACCTTTTTGTTGGATTTCGTATAGGATCAACATTAAGACTGTATTGTATTAGGCGACCAAATGTGATCCTACACAGGATTTTAATATGCAAAAGGTGAAAGCACGCTCACAACACGCTTGCACGACACGCTTAGCGTGTCTACGATCACGGATACGCGCATATTAAATTGCTAAAATAAAAAAGATCACACTTGGCTTTGTTTAGGTAAACGAAGGCACACCAAATCTTTTGTTTCTTGAAGTGTGCTATATGTCACGGTAAACGTGCGTTTTATAGCACACTTAGCGAATGTGAGTATTGGACACGTTAAAGGACTGATCATACCGACCCGACACATATCATGCACCAAGAACAAACATTTAAAAAGATGACCTTCACAGCAGCTTTTCAACCGCAGGGGGGCAAATACAGTATTCCTCGCGGGCAGGTATAAGGTAATTGATTACTACTTACAATATTTATTATCAATCTCCTCGCGGTCCGCTTTCCAAGAACCAACGTCGACGCTATTTCCTATAAATTGTTGGTGAATCATACATGCAAATCAATAATTACAAACTATAAACAAACATTGCACTACACATACTTATTTGATTTGATGATTCATTTATGATGTATTCACAAGTATCGTCAACAGCCAAAGCACACACACAGAACAAACATCAAAAGTATCGCCCCAAGTAAAGGAATTCGGATTCCGGAATCCCGGAAATTTTTGCGTGTGGAATCCTTAATCCTGGGCTTTGGAATCCGAAATATAACTCAAAGAATCCGGAATTCCACTAACGATTGAAATCCAGGAATTCAAGTCTCACTGACAAAAAAATATCGGAATCCCGCCGCCTGGTTGGCTCAGTTGGGAGAGCGCCGGTCTGTTGAGCGGGAGGTCACGGGTTCGAACCCCGGCCGGACCAACACTCAGGGTCTTTAAATAACTGGGAAGAAAGTGCTGCCTTTGTAATGACATCTGCAAACGGTTAGACTTTCTAGTCTTCTCGGATAAGGACAAAAAACCGTAGGTCCCGTCACACAACACTTACACTTATCTGGTTCTTGTGAGACGTAAAAGAACCCACACCACTGTTCGAAAAGAGTAGGGGACGGACACCCCGGTGTTGTGGTCAACCTACACACATCACATCATTTACATCATGGGCCGGTTGGGTATAGTAAGCTCATAAACAGACTGAGAGCGGCTGCCAGTGGCGCCTTTGTTTGTTGACGTCCGAGCGTACTATTCACATGTTAAAATTAACCCTTTAAGTCCCAATAGTGACTAACAGCAATTTTCTCCTAACGATATCAATACATTGTCATGAGATGAGGTTATGAGAATTGATAAAATGATCACCTAAGAGAAAATACTTTGATCTTTTATCAAATTCTCTCAACTAATTCTCAAAGGAAATGTATAGAGATCAGTTTGGAGAATTTGTATGTGGATATTGGGGCACGTCTGTTGTCCTCTCATCCACGACTCTTCATTCATTTATTTCATTCAATCCAGTACCTGGAATCCGGTATTCACGGCGCAGCATCCGAAATCCAAGACTCTCTTGGATTCACTTAAAAGTAGCTCCAAAATAGCAGCTTGTGGACTCGTTCGTCATGATGTCGAAGGCTGAACCTTGTATAAAGCCGAGTATCTTATTGGTTTTCGTACAGGCTTCCAGGACTAAGTAGTTTAATTTCACTTTGGATGCTTTGTGACTAACCCTAACCCCAAAACCCAAAATCCGTCTGGGCTTCATCGTCTTATCTGGACATCGGATATTTTATAGTGGAAAAAAGGGGTTATCACTTTGGTAACTCGAACTGAAGTCAAGTCGTGTCCAGTATTTTCACATTTTATCCATTCGAATAACCTTGACATTTATAACCCATACCTTGCCTGTCTTGTGCGCTTCTTCATTTCTTTTCTTCTTTTCCCCGTACTAAAAACCTACAGCTGTAACTAGCAGGTAACACACTCAACACCGACCAACTGCCTGACAATCAATTACACATGCGCAAAGCTGACTGCGCCAGTGACATCCATGGACAGCTGCTTCGCCCTAATTAGGCTTATCAACATACCTTTGCGGTCAGCTACCTGTACGACCAAGAGAGGCGCTAGCAGCAAAGGGTACCTACACACGCCCTTTTTTCATATAGGCGCCAATTAAGTCATGCCATGCTGATGTCCATTAATGAGGGAAAAGCAGCTGTCCATGGAGCTGAGCCACTTTTCAGTTGATGTGGTCGACCGTAAGGCGTGAGCTGGAGGCCAGGCCGGCTATGTCATAATCATGAGACTTATTGCGGGCAAAACAGATATCCATGGTAACCACTGCCACGTGATATAGATGTGCGCAAGGCAGGAGGTGAAGACCAGGACGGCTATTTCATAATGATGAGACTTATTTAATGAGAGCAAAACAAATATCCATCCGTGTTAGCTGTGCGCAAGGCCTGACTTTTAGGCAAGACCGTTGGTTGATTTCTGAGTGTGTCACTTACTGGCTTAAGACAAGTACGTTTACCTACGCATGGTTGTAAAGTGCAATTTCGGCCTTCTCCGGAGGAGCGCTCCGCGCATAATTTCCCTCCATGTTCTGGGAGCGGATTTGTACAAGATCGCGTACGTAATTGGAAGCCAGTTCCACAAGTGACGCTACACTTTGTCCAGTTTGACCAATTGGAGAAGCCCCCGTCAACTACAAATAAGACAAAACATACGGCTTATTCGATGATTGTTATGGAAACTTCCTTAAATAATGCATTTCTGGGATGTCATGAAATGTAAATTTTAAATTGAAATGCTTATTCGCCTCCACTTTTGGGGATTTTCAGGATAAGGAAACAAAAACTTCTAATAGAACACAACATGGTTAAGAATATCAACTGGCTGGAGACCAAACAATTTGCTATTTTACAAGCGTGACCGAGGATTTGAACTCGCGGGATTACCGAGAACAATGCTAGCTGGCGGTCAGGAGGAAGGCGGGGGGGCCGGGTTTGGGGAGCTTGAACTTGAGACTCCGGATTGCATTCTGCGCTCTAAACGCTAAGCCACGCTGCTTTCTCCTGCCTCCGCGCTTTTAGACACTCTTGAAGAAATTCATAAGGCTAAAAATTTCAGATATCTATTCTAATGTTCGTAAAGCATCCTAACAAGGAAAGTATAAATATTAGAACGAACACTCCTACTATGAACAGGGATGAGGGAGCATACCAGCTATCTCCTATATGCACCCGAGTGGTCTCCACCCCCAACCAGGGGGGAAGGAGTGGCCTCGACAGAGTGACTTTGCGCTTTTTGTCGCAATTAACACCTTCAGAAGCCTATGTAGGGCTACTGATACCTGTGACGTTTTCAGTTTTGATAAAGATGGCTGTCAGTCATCGAAACTGTCAGCATCATTGGAATTTTTCTTCCGGGCTATGCTTTAAAAACATTTGAATAGACGCTGTTACGCAGTTACCTGGGCAAGACGTTCCCAAACAACTCTCTGTCTGATTCCGTTCACCAGTGCATCCTAACCCACCGTTAGCGGGAGCTGGGTTCGTGCAACTTCTGTAACGAACTTTCGTTCCATTACCGCATGACCTGCTACAACAACTCCAATCTGACCAGGACGTAAAACCTCCGTCCACTGTGAAAAATTGAATGAAAATGTTATGGCATCCTTAATTAACTGCTAACACTGTTGTGTTCTAACTGAACAAAATCATTCTGAATTCAGTTTCATATTTCGACATATATTTGAAAACATCAAAGAGGAGTCACTCCTAGCCTTAAGGCTGGTTTTACTTGCGACGAAGTCTAAATCGGTGTCGTAAATCGAGTCGTGGTAGGCAGCTATGAATCTAGTCATCTTAAAGTCTAAGTAGTTAGGGATAATTAGCTGGACGGAATCATTTACGCAAGAAACAGAACGTGTTCATCCTTCTTCCGACACCACTTTCGATTTCGTCGCTTAAGGCTGAACAACGAGATTGTTGAATTCAGAAGCAGATGTGGAAGAATTAATGAACCAACGACTATATAAGTCTTTTCGGTACGTCGCCCTTGGTTTTCCGTCAGTTCCTGCTTTTGATTCCTACAATCTTGTTTTTACTGGATCGTAAGTGATGAACTCGTAAGCAAAATCAGACTCGTCAGGTTCTGATTACGAATCCGCCGAGAGGAAAAAGTGAATCCGCGTCGCTAGTGAAAACCATGAAGCCTTCACCGCAAACATACCTGGAACACAGCCGTATAGTTCTATTCGAATGCATATGTGTTTATTCCATTGAGAAGGAAAAATAAATAACGATTTCATAACGGTGTTGTTTAAGGAGAAGTGCATGATTTCATCTCCAGACACAGGCGCCATTTGGAATACCTAACAAAATAGCAAAGACAGCGGTGCAAATATTTCAAATTATTTCAAAACAACAACTAAGTGACACAACTGTATTCTCATTGTTTTGATTTTGTCGTGGTAAAAAACTAAAGGAAATAAAAGTTTATAACGAAAGAAAATGCTAATTTCAACTACGCACCGTGGGTTAATTCTGCTGATAGAGCTATCTAGATTGTGCCGTACTATAGTGAATTAAGAAGATTTGCCCTTCATCTGCGGGCATTAAGCTTGCGTTTCAAGGCCTGGATTAATGGCTTAATTGAAGAAAGAAGAAGTGGTTTTTGTTGCCTAACCTGCAAAGAGGATGGAACTGTATCGAGATTTGGTGTAGACAAAGCCTCATCATGCCTTAGTAAGTCACATGATGTATCAGGTGACTACTATTCCTGATTGATAAATGATAGACGAAGGCAGGCGAGATATTACAAATGTTTTTTACTCAGGCCTTATTGTCCAAAAACTGAACACTTATAGTACATGTAGTCTATATTTCAACAGCTGAGGTCCACGAACCTTAGGGTTGCTATCCGACGGGTAGAACTGAGGAAACCGTTGTGTATCATCAGTCTTGTAACCAACTTTGAATTGAGTGATATACTGGTTACTAAAACGTTTCCCTTGAATATCAAGGCCTGTGAGGTGAGCTTGTTTACCTGTAAAACATAAACACGCTACCGTTAATCCTTTATTTGACCCGCCCTCTCAAATAAGCCCCCTCTCTAGTAAGCCCCGCCCCCTTTTCAGGGAAAGAAAGTTAAGAAGCCCCCCTCTCTTTTAAGCCCCGCCCACGCTCCTCTAATTATTCTTTACTTATAAATGATAGACTGTATTAATCAATCACGACTGTAAAACTTCGTGTGGACTGGTCTGGGACGGTTTATTTACCAACTGGAAGTTTGAATTTGTTTTTGATCCTCGGCTGCATGACCTCCAACGTCTTGTACTAGAACTTTTCCAAACTGATGCCATCGTCTTTTCTAAATCCGGGATAAATAAGCCTCCCCCCCCCCCCGTGTAATAAGCCCCCCGTGGGGCCTAATAGAGGATTTACAGTATGTCATCCTGCAAGCAGCAGGTTTCCGTGGAGACTTGGGGTGAATATAGGAGAGACGAGGGAGTTTCTAAGCTCCCCTCCCCCCTTCTAGCACTACCTTGACTTCTCTTCATAATATCTGCTGGTAGATAGCTAATTAGAAAGGGGGAGGGGGAGGGGGAGGGATTATAGGTACCCAGGCCTCTCGTCTTCGGTACTTTGCATTCCCGGCTTTCCTTTTTTTCTTGGCTTCCTCCTTTTAGCCCCTTTTCGATTGCTAAATATTTAGCATTTTTGCGTAAATTCCCCCTATTTTTCCCATTTCCCATCATATTAGAACTCCCACCTCCCGCCCTTTCCTTCCCGCCTCCCGTAACCCTATTCTCCCGGGATATCACCTCACTGTTCTCCCCCACTGTTCACAAGCTTTACCTTAGGCTAAAGAGGGTAACATGGGCCTCTTTCAAAAATGCCTTTACACGTTTTGTTGTCCCTCCAAAATTTTGCGTAAGCATTGTTTTCAGTTTCTCTTGGGGTGATTGTTAGTCCCAGGAGAAATTGAAAACAATGCTTATTGCGTAATGGAAATTTTGGAGGGACAAAAAAGAGTATTATGGTGTTTTTGAAAGAGGCCTATTTTAAAAAGGCGAATCAGACGCCTCAGAAAATGTTAACACAGGCTGGCTGTGCGAGGTTACTCGTACCAATATTGATACGTAGGTATTGAAATGTATCCAGGTCACTCGAACACCACGCACTGGAACTGTTTAGAATGGCGTACTTTTCATCAACACTGGAGTTAAAGGCCGTTGTAGTTTGAATGGTTCTGTTCACTATGTCTCTGGTAAGAAGGGCTCCACATCCAGGACCTGTTGATAAAAAGCAACAATACTGAATACTGTGAAGAGGGGATAAAGCTCTCTTGATACTGTCTATGTTGGGTGGAATTGCGCTATACATGCACTGGACGAAAAAATTGATTTGCACAAATTTGCTCCTTGCAAATATGTCGCAAAAACGTAAACACCGGGGAGTAAATAATACCAAATAAGGGGCAAAAACGGTGAATGTCACATTAATTTTGCATACCAAGAATAAGGGAAAGTAAATACAACTTGGCAAATGTGGCATTTACCATCTTTGCAAGAGATTTACTCCTCAGTTTTTACAATTTTGTAATATACTTGCCCGGAGCAAATTAGTGCAAATCCATTTTTTTCGTCCAATGGTACTTGTACCGTATATGGGCCTCTTGAAATTCGGGAAACCAATTTTAATAATGCAATTATCTGCGCAACGTCGTAATAGCCAAGGAAGAAGTGAAAGAGTTGTCTTTAGTTAGGGGCTGTCCACACTTGGTGCTCGGGAACCAGTACCTGGGTACGGGCACAAAATGGTGTTGAGTTCACACTTTTAGTACCCAATTTGTGACTGTGTACATAGTTACTCCATTTCGCCCTGTCAGACGCCATTTTGAACCTGAGCTTAGCAGCGAGAACAAAGCATTGATCTGCCTGAAACTTACAAAAATTGTGTACACACAGGGACCCGGTCAGTGCCCATTTTTGTGCCCGAGTACAAGGGCTCGACCTTGAAGAAAGGGTGTGTTCACGTTAGTGCCCAGCGAGTACCGTACTCGGGCACCAAGTGTGAACGCTGCCTTAAAGTCACAGGTGATCGTTAGCAGCATATCAATCACGTCTTTTAAAAAATACATGTACGTGAAAACAAAACATGGTTGTCTTTACACTAGCAGAGCCTAAATAAGCTAAAAAATATTTCAAGACAAGTAAATTTTAAATTCTTCACCGGTAAAAGGAAGCTTCACACACAACCTATATTTTTTTAATTTTAGGTTAACTTAAGGCTATTTTTACCACGGAACATAATTTTAATTATGTTGCGTGGAAAATTATGTTGCGTGGGAAAATCTTAAAAGATTGATCGGCACGCTTCGCCTTCCTCAAAGCTCAAGAAACCGCAAGTTCGCAAGTCGGTTTTAAGGATGGTTTTCAAGTCACTTGAAACTTTTCTTGAATCGTTTCAACTTTCCGACGTAAATGAGATGCAAAGTGAAATAAATTGAGATTTTACTAAGGCTTTCACAAACGTATCTTTGGTTGAGTAAAACTTAACAGCTCTTAAGTCTTACTTAACAGCCTAGTGTAAAGACTACCATTGAATTAAGCGAATCTAATGGAACGTAGTACCAAGACATTGTTGACATTATAATTAGCGTTAACCACAAAACAATAAACTATATAAACACGAGATGATTTGCTTGCTTAATCTTATCAGTGTTTATACTAATTATACTTCTTCTACCTTGTTGACATTTAGTATGAGATACCTTTATGTAATACTATGCTTGTGGCGCCAGACCTCTTAACACATTAGAGAGCTTTAGGTTCTAAGTCGAGGGCGACCACAAGAACGAGATTTTCTCAATACTAAGAAATACACACGAGCGAACCAGGACGGGAAAATGTGGTAGCCGTCGTCAGTCTACTACAGCTGTACCAGAATTAGCGAGGTTGCCGTAGTGGCGAAAACAAGTTAACAAATGTTAGAAATTTTATCATTTAGCGATCGGAAGAGGGCTTAACTGCCTTCAACGAAAATGAACGTGCTAACTTTGGTGGTGAAAAAGCTTTCCGGTGTGTCTATTTTAAAATTAAAACATTAAATGCCCTCCTCGTCGTAGTCCTCATCCTCGAATTTAAAGCTCTCTATTCTCGAACCCAGGGAATAATTTTCTACCTTTTGAATACCGGTATGACACGACTTCACTGCTGATGATCAGGGCAATGACCACAATCTCTGGAATGCCCAACTGTGGCTGCATTACGTTTCTGCGTCTCAGGGTGTTGGGTTTGTTTTACATCCTTAAGACACGAATTATTATTTCACCAACATGCGAAGAATGTGTAGAAAGTTCAAGAGCAAGCGGACGGGAGGAGTTAGGACGTCAAATGACGACGCAAAAAGCTTTTGACACTTAATGTTAGTGGCAGCTGGGATAGATTCTTCCACATTTCCTGTTATTATTAGAAACATTACGACCTAAAAGTGTTTTTATAGCCCAAAAACTCACTGGCCTATTATTTTATATTTGCTCTCGAGAGTCTCACGTGCTATTTCATCAATATGCCGCATTAATTGTAAGGACGACCGTACTCTTTTTCGTTGCCGTTCGCTTTATGCTCGATCGCTAATGACAAGCAGAAAAGGAACAAGTCCTATAGCAAATGCTTCTCGAAAAGAAGACAGCAAAACAAAAGAAAAACACAAAAACAATTACAAAACAACAACAAGAACCACTAAAAATAAGACAAAACAAAACAAACACACAGAAACTCCTAAAGTGTAACAGTTTGGCATTTTAAGCAAAATTTCAATGAGCCAAGAAAGATTGGGTTGTCTAATTTTGAGCTAGTTTTGTTTATATTGCTCATCAATACATTTTACAGCCAGGCATGCGACATTCATCGCCAAAATCCTGTCTGAAAATGTATTTCCGCGGTCTATGATGTATAGTACAGTCGACTCGCGGTAACTCGAACCCTCTATATAGCTATAACTCGAACCTCCCGCTAACTCGAAGCCATTTTCATTTCCCATCAGATCGTTTTCTACATAATTTTACCCTCGATAACTCGAACTCGCGGCAACTCCAACTTTTTTCTATTTCCCTTAAAGGTTCGAATTATCGAGAGTCGACTGTATATTTATAGGAGTGCGATCGCGAACTTTGACCTTGCATGAAGGGGGTTAGAAGAACGATGAATTTCCTTCCCTCAATAATGTAGAGATAATCAGGACGGAAGAACAGAAATGGTAGTGTCGTTTGCAGCAGTAATAATAATACAAATAATAATAATAATATTAGCGATAATGCGTGATAATGGCAATGATAATGACATTTATAAAAGACAAGTATCCAGTAATGACAAATTGAATCTCAGTACATGTGTAAATAGTCAATTGAACACGTAAAAAATTAAGTTACCACGAAAATGCAGAAACTATATTTCCACAGCATTAGTGCATCTCGAAGGCTGTTCTTCAGCCTTGGTTGGTTAACATTCTGCACTACCGTAAAATTCCGAAAATAAGCCCCTTTTTGAAACGCAAATTTCCCTCCGTAGATAAGCCCCTCTGAATATAAGCCTCTCCAAAAATAAGCCCCTCAAAAAGAGCCTTTGAAAACTGATAATCCCGGGGTTTATTTTCGGAATTTTATTGTAATTCTTCACTTCATACTCAGCCGCATTAAACAATTGTTAGTTATTCCATCACGAGCCTGTTACCCTATTATTAGGCTGAAAGGCGAAAAAGGTGATACTGCTTTCCATTTATTTATTTATTCATCTATTAAATTTATAAATTCATTTCTTTAATAGAGTGCTATTTGCGATCCTCCGGCAAATGATAGCACAGACACGATCAACAACTGTGAGAGATGATGAAAGTCAGTATATGATATGTTGCGTTTCTCTTCGTTTTTAAGTGTGATTGCGGTGCTTTCTCTTAAAACGAACAAAAAACAAACTGATAAACAAAACCACCTGCTAATAGCAGACAGACATCATCACAAACTAAAACATCGGACCCCACTTTCGTCGATCAAGGTAAACAGATGTTCAGGAAACACGAATACTCCAAACTGACGTAAAAAATAAATTGTGTCATTATCCGAGTGATGTTTTTGTTTTGTTTTTGCTTTTTTCTTTGCTTTGTTTTCTTTATTTACTACAGTGTACATATCCGTTTTGATTGCTCTGATTGGAGTTGCTCACTTAATCGTTGATTTGTTTATATTAGACTGAAGAGCATTATTTGTGGCGGTATAATACAATATCCCTCGATTTACAAAAACAAACCACTTCAGTTTTCACCGTTTTTAAGAATGCACTGAAAAGAAGTAAAAACAAACAACACTGCAACACACTTACCTTCCTTATTAGAAAGGCTCTGAGCTGACATTCGCAAAAGTAATATTGAAAACAATCCCCACCACATCCTAACTTACTGTCTTGGGGTGATTTAATACTGGTGAAGACGATTTGGTGGCTTTTAAACGATTACTGTCTTGCTAGTTTCTATCGCATTTCAGAGTGGTGGCAACATTCCGGGTGACGTCACAAAAACCGCAAGGAAATTAATTGATGAAAAAGCGCGTGCTAAACGCCAGGAGGGTTAATAATAGCCGTTCTCAAATCCCCCCTTCCGGCTTATTTTTTCTTCGTAATATCGCTATCCCGCTTGTATCTATTTTTGGCGAGTTTCTTGCACAGATTGATAAAATGTTCTCTTTTATATATATGGAAACACAAACCTGCTACGGAACCGAACAGCACAACCAACTGCAGACAACCCCCACGCAGAAAGTTTACTTTTCCACCCTCCTTGGACTTCGTCCTCGATTTCTTCCTCATTTGTACTGCTATTTGGAGTCATTCCTGTATTTCCTTCCATTCTTAAATCCGCAAAAAAATAGGTGGGTGAGACATGCAGTCGTTTGCAAAATAGTCCTTTTTTTTTTTTTTTTCTCACAATCGGTTTTAAAAGGTGCTAAGCTCAAGGGAAGACTGAGTGTCTCCCTAGTCTAATTCGTTTTTTGGCCTCACTCCAGACCTCTCTCTCTCGCACGCCATCTTTACCAAGTACCGGAATAAGACGTGAAGTGGGAGTAATTTGCAAGCGATATCTTTTTTACGCCCAAATTTCGAGTGAGCGCGAGCTAAAAGAACCCTTGAAACGTCTTTGACGTAGCAAGTCCAGCCACAAAGAACAATAGAATTATAGCTTCTCATACCACTGCGTCTGAGACAAAATTTCTAAGTCAAGCTTTCCCTCAAAAGAACCGCTCGCGGCTCGAC